TCCTACCCCGGGATGCATAGTTTGGGGTATGCAGGCCTTAGGTACCTGAACGAGCCTACCCCGGGTTGCACAGTTCGATTAAATTTGACAGTGTTGTCAGAGTTGTTTAATTTGTTGATGATGTTTTTGTTCAAAATGTTTGGGAATCACATTTTCCTATTTTTGCTTCTGCATGTGTCAGTAATTAACTTGAAATGCTTTTGTGTACAGTGGATACAGCAAATTGTGTTTGTCTACTTTTTCTTGTGCTCTTGATTGCCTTGTTCTGTTGTTCTATGGATTTGTAATTCTAAAATAAAAGATGAATGAATGAATGAATGAATAATAGGCTAATAATAATAATAATAATAATAATAATAATAATAATAATAATAATAATAATAATAATAATAATAGCTCAATGAGACTAATTAAAATTAATTATTTTCATTGATTTTTTATTGTATTCTTGCCTGTGTGAAGTCGAATAAATAAATAAATAAATAATAAAAATAATTTGCTTTCTGTTATGACAAATGCTCGTTTGGATAGACTCATGATACTTGGAATACATCATGATAGGGGAAGCAACCCCACCTGTGGAATAAAGCAATAACAAAACATTTAGGTACCAAATTTAAGAAATAAAAGCCTACAAATGTAATATTAATAATAAGGATGGCAATGATGATGATGATGATGATGATGATGATGTTGATAATGATAATGATTATAATGATGATGATGATGATGATGATGATGATGATGATGATGATGATGATGATGATGAAGATGATGAAGATGATGATGATGAAAAAAATAAATACATGAAAATTAAACTTATGATTCTGGTACGTCGAAAGAATTGAATTACTAATACAAAACACAAAACGTTTCAATACTCACGTGACATCAATAATACATAGTAACATGAGGAAACGCAATGAAAGGAAACATTTTTAAGTACACAAGCGCACCTATAACAATATATTTGTATTTGTAAGGAGTACGGTTTTACAATTAGTGTACATCATATCATAGGCCTATCTGTCATGGAGTAGGCCTAGTATGGAGAAAATTTCAATTACTTTTTTGAAAGAGCGCCCTCTACCCGGCTGCCGAGTAGAGGCAAAATTGATTTTGTTGTGATGAATAGGAAGCGAAGATGGCTGATGAAAGGTAAGTGTGTTCTAAGTAAAGCCAGTGTGGATATTAATTGGAAGGGGTTTAGTGGCTTCAGAAGTACTTTTGGATATACAGTATTGCGGTCAGACTTATTCAATTTCTTTCTCATTAATTCACAGCGAGAAAAACAACCAGTCGCCGCTGAAGAGTTTAGCTAGCTTCCGAAGTGAAATTATGGATATGCATCTACACGACCCTGGCGAAGGACCATCAACGTAAGTTTGCAAGTTAGTAACACCACATTATACCACTAGTACACCGCCCCTTGGAATTCCAGGTGCAGTGGTGGTAAGGCTAGGCTTACAGCAAACCTGCTACTGATGTGTATGTTAATGTGCATTTGTTGAATAACTGAAGGTATATAAATATATGGTCTTGGGACTGATGGGGGCATGAAGGTGGGGTAGGGTGCTCGATGATTAAGGGAGGGTGCCGCAGCTTGCAAAGTGATTTTTTAATAATTTTTGAGCATGATTTTTTTTGCTTCATACATTTTCAATGGAGGAGGGAATCTAGGGAGATGAATCTGAGGGAGATGGATCTGAGTGAGAAGAATGCTAGCTGAGGGAGGGGAATCTGGGGAGGGAGCTTTAGGGGACATGTAAACCCCTAGATACTCCATTGTTGTCAAGATGTAAGAGACCCTTCTGAATTTTTAAGAGAGTGTACAACAATGGAAAACAATGTCAAGTGCGACTAATTTTATCTAATCCTTGTGGTACAACATAAGAACTAAACTGGGGCCAATAGTAGTAATGAAAATGTATAGAACTCATAAAATATTGGAAAAAACTATACATTACTACTGTATAATAAAATTTGATTTTAAAATATCAGGTAAATTGCAATAAAAAACTGAACACAATATGAATGACAAGGCCAAGACCCAAGCCAACTTTTTTTAGTTTTTAATGTGTCTCACTCTGTTGCCATAGAAACAATTATGCCTTACGGATTTCAGTGGCAACTTTAAGTAGCAGATGTATTTCTAGATATAGCATTATAATAACACCTCGACGAAGTGTCAAGAATTTTAACATATAATTAATTCATCTATACAATTTAGATGCTGTGGTACATAGATAAAAGAGAAAAATTGAGATTTTATTATTTTTCAACCAAATATTAATGAAGGTTTTGTGATATGACTATTTGGAGCCATAGCATATTTTGTTGTTAATCCTAGTGCTGAATATTGAGATTATTATTTTTTTTAATAATGTAATTTATACCATAATTTATTAACAACTGTACCATGCACAGCATTGGCTTTTTTTTTATGAGAAAATTAAAGATAACATCAGTGGCTCACAACAGAGAATGAATTGTGTATTACAGTACTGTATAGTACTGTTGACAAGATTCACAAAGCAATTATAATGATAATGAGTTACTAAAAAGTGGACCACAGCAATATTTTATTCTAATGACAACAATATTACAAGTGATAATTCCTATACAGTAGTCTGCTTATGTTTTTTCTCCAAAATATTGAAACAAATTGGAATATAGTGTGCCTGGTAAAGTATTATCTTCCATCACATAATCTCAATATGTTAGCAAATGTGGCAAAGACAAGCCAAACCAGTCACTCGTCGCAAATCGTGTTTCAGGGAAAATGGCCAAAACATGCTGGAATGTCAAATTTTAAAAAATCTATTTTATTATTATAAATTTATTAAATTTATTTATTTATTTATTATTTTTTTATTTATTTAATTTATTTATTTATAAATTTTTATTATATTATTATTTTTTTTATTTTTTTATTTTATTTTATTTTTTATTTTTTATTTTATTGCACTAAACTAACCTTTATATATCTACACATCATTCTATGCTGTTATTTTCCCCATTTTCAATGTTAAAACAATACTTTTTAAGGATTTAAAGATAGTTTATGCATGAGAAATGCCTGAAATCATAAACTTTGTCGGTTAATTTCTCATATACTGTTCTTTAAACAGCTGTGTGGTTAAACGCTTGTAACTTCATAAAGAAATGTCCGATTTGAATGATTTTTTTACCATTTTATAGCTATTATTTTACCCTCTAACACTGTATTAATAGCTCAAAATCGATTTTTGCGACGAGTGACTGGTTTGGCTTGTCTTTGCCAGAAATGCTTTATCATTATTTGAGTATTGTTTGTGTAAATGGTAAAATTTGAAAGAATTTGAAATGTGATTTGTTGGATGCTCTTTAAAAAAAACAAAGAATTTTGTATTTATAAAAATAGATTATGAGATGCTATTATCAGTAGATAAAACTCCTTGATACCTTAAATTCAATTGGAGAAGATGTATTGATGAAACAGGAACAGATTCTTACAATAATATTGTAAATGATTACAGGAAGTGCTCAAAATTAGTGAATTATAAATAGGCATACACATATAAATCAAAGTGATATTTCTGAAAGATTTAATCACAGAATGTATAATTTTGTCAGATTATTCAATTCATGCATTTCTTAATATATCTAAACATCAATCTTTAAAAAGATTTTTGTAACTGTTATTATAAACCATATTTTGCCATGTTAAATGGAGTCCTATTCCTATTTTATTTATATAATACTATCTTTTTTGGAGCTATATATTTTATTCTTAATCCATCGTGTAAGTGGTAGGTTACCAACTATTGAGATTTGAAACACAATAATAAAAAAGAAATTGTTTACATGGAGTGAGCCTTCAATATCCCTAAATATAGGGAGAATAAAATGAAAATATGTGAGTAAATGAGCATAGTATATAATTATAAATAAAACTGTCATGGGAAAAAATTATAAATACATTAGTTTATAAACCCTTTGCTTTTTTTTTTTTTTTTAGAATTAGGATTTTGATAGAATTCCATTGGAAAACCTTAAAGGGAAAGTTTTGGTCTGTTTAGAAAACTCCTTATCTTTCTTTCATTTTCAACTGAATCAAGATCTCTAGCTCTTAGCTGTGCCACAAATATATTTGTCTTATCTCTATTCCCTAGATTTCTTTCTACTTGGTATTGTCCTTCGTGACCTATCGTTTGACAGTTCGTGCCATATCCTAACAGCTAGATATTAGTGACATTCTGAATATGTGAACCATTTTCACTGTTTTCATTTTTATGTTTAGATTCGGAATCAAATTTATACTCATGAAAAATGTAAGAAATTGTAAAAAATTGGTATTCCTAATACAAAAATATAATAAAATAAATTTTTAAAAACTAATAAAAATAACATTGAATAAATATTAAAAGTTTAGTCATATAGCAATTTGCTATGAATTACAGCATCTGATAATTATGCTTTATTTTAGAGACAAATTATTATGGTGTATTGTATGAATTTTCAAGGTATTTGAGATTGCCGCACTTGGCAACATATTATTTTCGTCCTCTCACTCCGGGCTTTTAAATGGTGCTTTACATTACAAATCAAAACCTAGTGTATCTCTCAAGAAACATACAAATTAATTTCACGCCTTTGGGTTCAATCTCATTACATCAATCATTCTCGCGGGAAAAATGACAGTGGACACTGCGCAACTTCAGGCATATTTCTAACAGGGATTACAAATTGCATTTCCTATAGGAAACCCCTACTACAAGAATTATTTCCTATGGGAGATCAGTCTTATTGCTGTAAGAATGCCATGGGTGAGTTTTGAAGGGTCTATTATAGGGGAGCATACTGGTACGGAATTTATTCACAAAGGAGCACATCCATGTAGTGTGGGGACAGG